ATACAGGGTACAAGGTAGTTGATGGATCAGGTGGTACCACTACCAGCAACAAGTGTGCAATGTTTTTGAGGTTTTGGGTTCGAAAATGCTATAAAAACCAAGAAAAACAATCATTTTCCTGTAGTCTGGTTCCCTGACTCCATATAAGAAGAAACAGAGCAGTTTACATACAATGGGGAATTGTAAGGTCAGGGAACCAGTCTAGCTGGCTTGTACCCGTTGAATAGGTGTGTAATCGATTGCAAACAAGTGCGATGGTCAATTGGGGCCAGTATTAGAAAAAAAGCCAGTGTTTTCCAACGCTGGTCGGCTGACCAGCGTTGGACATTGGAAAAAAATACCACTTTTCTTGAAAATGGCAGTATACCAGGTGCCATGATTTTACAGGATGCTTTACACTGTCATTCACTAACAGTCCAGCAAGGTATTTCAAAATGATTTGGTAGTTTTATTTTTGATGTTTGCAAATGTTGTAGTTTCCCTTTAAAGATGGGATGTGTATGTTCATGCATGGAGGAATGGTTCATGCAAATTCGGGACTCTATATTTTTATATTTGGGGGAAATTCCCATTGTAGCTTTACTGATGTTGCCACATGGCTATGGACTGTCACTTGTATACACATTGTATTTTGGCTTTTGGCCAAGACATTGTTGTGCTCCACCTGGATCATGGCAAAGTACATGTAGATCAATAAGAAGAATGCCCCATTGTTTTCATGTGAAATTAAAATCTTGGCAGATTTCCAATTTTGTTGCTCCTTTTTTGTAACAATTAACAAACCCCTCCCGAATGCTACATTGTGTAATATTTACGTGTTTGTACCTGATCTTTAAGAAGAAATCCCCCTTTTTCAAGGTGTTTTCCACACAAGTACCTGTGTAACCTAACAGAGGGAACAACCCATATACAATGTACATCTAATTTTTAAGCCTTGAATTTAGTTGAAATATAATGACCTAATGGTTTATTTTGCAATTGTTAAAATTCAAACATTTATGTCTGTATGGTACATACATGTGCATGTACCGGGTACATGTACATGTACAAATGTACATGAATGCACAGTACATACATGTACATCAAATGTTATTTTGCCGAACAGATACAAGTGTGTTAGGCAAAGTACATTGTACATGTAAGATACATGTACATGCACTTGTATGTACCGGTATATGTTGTACAAATACCAGTGCATGTACATGTACATGTACATGCCAACTTTTGTTTCAAAGGCGTGCATCGACTTGTCCAATGAAAATGGGAAATCCCATTCCACTTCACGTATCAGATGTCATACATGTATCAGATTTCATAAGTGAGAAATTTGATTTTGGAAAAAATATTTGTCCACCAATATATTGCCAGTCACTGTACAGTATGTATACATCATGCAATTTCAGTGAATGAAAGATGGCCCAAATTCTATGGCGCATTGACGTGTTCACACGTAAAAACCTTTGATGATTTTTTCAACCCAGTTTTGGGGATTCCCCTGTTTATTTTCTTGTATTTTTTTTAGCACAGTGACAGTCCACATTTTGATCATGCTTGGATGGTCACACAATGAACCTATTATTAAACATGTACGCACATAAAGCACAACTGCTTTGCAAAGTTATGATTTACCACATAGTGGGACTATTTAGATCTTTTGAAAAATTCCTGAATTTTGTTTCTTAAAACTTGAACAGCTACCACCCAAAACCCCGAGGGGATCCCCCCCTTTCCAGAAAAAAAAGTGTCGCAATATGGATAAGATCTAGTGACCTCTGTATGACTGATAATGATATGTACATGTAAAGGGAAAAGTCCATTTACAGTACATGTAAACTTTGGTTTACAGAATTAAAAAAAGAATACCACCTTTTTCTTGTTTCATGAGTAATGGATGGACAATCATGTAATTTTACTTTTACTGTGACACTTTACTTGTAAAATTTTCTTCACTGCTTGTCAGTGTTCATGAATGCCTTATTTGCTTCATGCCGCCTCCTCCCTCACCCCGGCCCCTCCCCTTTCCGAGTTTTTGGCAAAGACATAAAAAAAACACCCCAAAACAAAGAATGGGTTTTTCCATACACAGACATTGCATCTCAGGTGATAAGGAAATACATGTGCATCCTTAATTTAATCAACATTTGTTGGGAACTCATATACCTGTATACAGCCTGTCTAAAAAAAAAATGGTACAATCGAAAACGATTTTTTTTTTTTCAATATTAAATCCCAACATAAATAAGTCGTTTTGAGCATCACATTAAAGAAAAAAGACCAGGCTTTCCAATACTTTTTGTTTCATCTCATTTGCTTTTGTCAATCCAGAGATAACTCCAGTTTACTGCGGAACACAAAAATCGAGTTTGTGCCACTTTCTGGTTGCCATCTTTTGTGAGCTTCAAGACAGCATGGCACAGTGCTCGAAACAACTCTGCCCGTGCATAAAAGTGGCACAAAATTGATTTTGGTGTATCGCACTAAATTGATTATATCTCTGAATTGACAAAAGCAAATAAGATCAAACAAACACTATTGGAAAGCCCAGTCTTTGTTCTTTAATATTATGTCAAGTAAGAATGACTTAATTTTGAAATTTCATACTTAACCAATTTTTTTTTTCTGATTATACCATTTTTTTGAGACAGGCTGTAGTGTGGTCACTGTCAGTATAGAATATCTTTTCGTATTCTTTTTTAATTTTGGAATTCATGTCCTAAATGGGGAATTTTTTTTTTCAGAAGCATGTGATTGTTACTTGTATTACCATATATGGTACTGTACACTTTTGACAGTTGCAGGTAGTGTCGTGATGTGCAATTTTAAACAAAGCAATTAAAGTTATTTCTGTCATTTGCTGTGGTCATCGACATTAATAGAGAGTAAATGCAGAACAAACCAGTAATTTATTAGAAGCTTCTAGAGTTTGTGTACATGTACATGCGTTTCCTGTTTTGAAATTTCAGACTTCCCACACGGGATGTGAATATGTCACTAGCATGTCCGAAAAAAGCCACGTGTTTAGTTTCATTTTCAGTGGCAATAGATGACCTGGTGGTTTTAGCACTGAGGAAATTATGCAAAGCGGGGGAATACCCGTTTGAAAAACTAATTGTTCACTGCCTGGTATTTGCCGGAACTGTGCCGTTTGCCGGTACGTTTGTGTCGCGCGTGAGTGAGTGTCAGTACTAGGAAATGTACAAGAGATGGTGGTAACTTTCAGTTTATTGGTGAGCAGCTGCATATGACTTGCTTAATTTTTACATAAAGTTTCCACTCAAACATCGGGAAGTAATTTTTACCTGTTGTTGGTAAGTTCGGAATTGTTTGTTGTATTATCAAGTTGGGGGAAATGCAAAACTAAACAGATAATACCGGTAACTTGATTGAGGTTTAACTGCAGGTTTTACGAAGTTTCTCGAGGTTGAATCTCAGAGTTAACTCCCTGGGCCTTTTTGCTAGGATGTAGCCTCAATCCTGCAAAATCCTCCAATTGGCCTCATGGGAAAATAGCATATAGCCTCGATCCTGCAAATTCCTCCATTATTTCTTGAAAATGCTCCGTGGAGGGGTGGCCACTGCCTCAGCCAAAATCCTGCAAAATTCTGCAGCAGTGACTGTCAATATGTCGATGCTTGGCCAGTGACATCCTGGAGCAGCATGGATGATTTCAAGCATAATCCAGGCCTACATTAAGTGCATGGCTGGGCAAAAACAACACAAAGTCCGTAACGCACTTTTGCCATGTAACCTCAATCCTCTAAATTCCTCCACTTTGGCAAGGAGGATTTTGACGGATTCAGGGCGGTTAGGGTTAATTTCGCATTCTTCCCTTACATTGTGCATAAATTTGACTCTTCACCTTATAATCCATGCCTAATAGGACAAATTTCTGACTATGTGTACTGGTATATTCTGATTTTGTTATTAAAGAAGAAAAAAGAAGAAGTTTAATTTGGGTTGGCACTTGTTGGACAGAGCAGGCTTCACATTCATTTGGGTAATTCCAGCATTACGTAACAAGCTCAGTGAATAAACCTGAATTTGTATTTTCCTAATCTTTTTCATCCATTACCTAGTAATGGTCAAGAAGATTACAGATTTGAGTTTTGGATCATTTTTTGCTAAATATTTATAAAATTAGATACCATGGTTAATTGGCTCTGCTAGGGACATTACACTGCCTTTCATAACCTTGGAATAGCACATTTAATACTGTCAGTAGATTCAGATGAAAACTGTAATAGGGCACAGAAAAATCGAAGAGTCATAAACAGGTACATGTATAATAACACTTTTTTCTGCAGGGAGAATTTTCAACCACTGTGTCCGACCTTAAAGCTGTTGCTTTTTTTTTTAATGATTCACTCCAGACAAATAACACCATATGGGGATTCACCTCCTGAACAGTAATTTGCATGAATCACACACACACACATGTGGTCAACGTTGTAAACACTCTTCATTTGTTATGGCCGGGTTTTCCGTCCACACTATTACCCAAACAAATTAGCTAGACTAGTGACTCAAATGCATTGTTCATCTCCTTCATACATTATTCAAAAGTCCCGCATTTTGGTCTCCTGTGCAACAACAAGGTGAGTCGGCACCCTAAAATAACTGCCCAGTTCCTTTGTTCCTTGACTGCATGCGTGCAACGTTAGTCACAAAAGCACACACACACACACAGACTGGGTGGAGTTAATAATAGCCATGACTTTGGCCCCGCACGTGCCATGCAGTTGACTGTCTTTGTATATAGTGGGTTGTTGACAACTTTTGTGGTACAGTACTTAATTTGACACCAAACGATTCGGACCAAAGAGTTTTGAGCAGCGGGTGTACGCGGTGTTCGGAAGATATCTGCCTAGATCCTTTTCTACTGGTTGAGCCACCAAGCTGCTTACATTTTAACTTGTGTTTTACTAAACTGAACACAAAAAGCCTGCTTTTGCAAGTGTTGCACATAACATTGTATGTGTACATTACAATGTACATATTCAGAGTTGCTGCTCTGTGCACAAACCAACTTCTACAAGCTTCTATTTATTGCGGTCACCAGAGTTTTCTCCAGTTCACCTCCAGACACCATTGTGCTTGTTCACTGACCTTGATTTTGAACTCGACTTGCTGAAGTCGTTTATTCTGTCCACGTGCATCTAACACAACACAGTCAGTCCTGCATCAAACTTTTTTGTGTGGTTTCTAAACGGAAGATCTGAAGTCGGTGGAAATACAAATTCGGAGAAAAAACTGTCGAGTGCCACGTTGTATCTGAAGGAACGTACTTACCTGTGCCTTAGGCAAACCCTGAACTCAGAAACGATGGGTCATTTTTCACCGTCTATCAGTGCACAGTGCGTGTGCACGTGTACGTCGCCTGTCAGCCTCCATCCCACGCTGAGGATAAACCAAGGTAAGTAGTGGGGCATCCCTGACTGTGGCAGATTGAACATTGCTCCGTCCTGATAAAACGTGACTAATCAAAAGTACATGTCCAGTCACCAGTACACGACGTACTGTAGCACGTTGCGCATTATAAATTTTGTATGGTGGTGTGTCACAAGAGTGCGTATTGATTGTTATTGATTAGATTTTGTCTTACTGTCAAAGTCAAATGGCAAGATACAATGTACATGTTGTACATGCATACAGTGCATGTATTAGTACTAGAACCGGTGTACTGTACGTGTATGAAATGTTTTTAAAATTGTAAAAACGTGGATCATGACAAAATGTGCACTTTCATGTTCTAGAGTTACATACATGTACATGTACATATTATGTGTACACATGAGACTTGTCTGTTCATCACTCGGCTATTAAAACAAAATCTGCCAATAAAAAAGAAAGAATTTTTCCATTGCATTCAGAGTTAAAAACTTGCAGCTCATAAACTTTTTTAAACCCTGGCTGTGACTCTTTAAATTAACCCTCCTTTGCAAACACACATTCTGTGCCAAGTTGTCATTTCAGCCAAAATCAATCAAGTGGCTGTTTTCAACAGTTAAGAGCTCCCAGCCTACTGGTACATACATAGCAGGATTGACTGGCTGTGACTGTTTGTTTAACTTGACATACATGTAGCTATTCTTTGACTGTAGGTGATTGATAAGCCAGCTGTGCCTTCCACTTGCCTGTTTTTGTCTGTTGACTGAATTGGACTAGTCACAGGACTTGCTTGAAATAGGATCTGACTGTTGGGTGACTAGCCTGTGTAAAAGCCATGGCAGGGGAAGAGGATTGAATTTTTTTGACTGTCTGTGACTGTTCAGATAGCAGGAGGGGTAGGTCCAAATTCCACGGAACAAAGTATAACTTCACATTACATGTACATTTACATGTAAATGTCTGGGTTGGTTAAACAGTTAACAGAACATGTATGAAAATTGACATCGTCTTCCCTTGTTCACCCTAACATCACCTAAAGCTACAAAATACTACTCAGTGGTAACCTGTAGTATGCATTTCTTTCCATACAAGTGTGGTATTCCTGTAGTATTCTGTGGTATTTGGTACTTGTCTTGTCTTTGGTATTTTGCCTGTTTTCTTTCGAAGAGGAATTGTTTTGAGAGGGAGCGGGTTCCTTTTGCCTTTAAAGACGGGGAAAACAGTCCGAAACCCATTGTGCATCTTGCTCTGCATCCGTACTTTTATCCTCCATTGTAGAAGGGAGGCTACCACAAACACTTCCTGTTTCCGTCTCACAAATCCAGCATCATCATCGTCTTGTTTACCTCCAATGTTCGCTCCTCCAATGACTCATTCCTCATTAGAATGACAATGGCCCCCTACAGGGAGCCACAAGATCTGTGGTGTCCACCTCTTGACATCTACCTAACCCCTTGTCCTCAGGATGAACTCACTTTAGGGGGAAAACCAACAACAACATTGTAAGCGTAGCCTGCTCAGCGAACGTGCCACATTGCAATTATCTTTTATAATTAGATGTAGATCCTTCCATTGTACATTGTATGATGACGTTGCGTTGCAGTCACTGTGTGTATCTAGCTTACTCTCTGATGTGTCAGTTCACAGATAGCTTTAGGACATCCACGTAATTGCATTTTTTCGGGGCCATCTAGCACTGAGCATTATCTGATAACATGGATAATGGGTTTAGTTTTTTTTTATAATTTTATTTTTGTGATAGATCGTTAGCGCATTATTTTAGGCCATTTGACTTTCAGTTATTCACTTTTCTTTTTATATTTAACTATTTTTTTATGAGACAGTAACAAAATGAAGGAGTTATAAAGAAACACTGAAACCATTCTACCATCATTGATCACAAAGTTGGTACATATTACTATGAATATTATTTTTTTTTAAATAATGCAAAATGAAATCTAGAGAATTTATACTTTTTAGCAAAATATACAATTAATTAAGAGTTTATGATGGTGGCCCGATTTATATCTAAACCTTTGTAAAACTTTTTATTGACTTAAGATATTGATTAAAAAAGATATGGATTAAAAAAAAATATAATGGTAGTTAAAAAAAAATACAAACATTAATAAGTATGGGGTTGTAGAAGTATACAAGATTGTCATATTCTTCGAACTTTCCTAGTAGGGAGCTTCATTAAATTTCTATGTGGCACTCGTATCAATTAAAAATTTTACTTAAGAAACTTGACTGAGTATCATGAGTAACATTGACCTCTTTCAAATACACATTTTTTTGATAGACGAAACTGGAAAGTGTCAGAAAAAGTTCAGCTCAATTTTCCCTTGCTATGATTGGTCACACTTATGAAAGTATTACCTTGATCTTCTGTAACTCCTAAGCAGCCTCGCGGGTCCAGAATCTCATTAAATGACACAATGTTGATAACTTCCTGTCATGAGGCAACCTTGGCCCTGAAGGCTTGATAATCACTGTCTTCTTTGTTTTGATTATGTCGGAACCTTGTTTGTGTCCAGGCCCCAGCGTGCATGAACTGTACATGCCCCCCGGCCTATTGCATGGCCCGATGCGATCAATTTATTCCAATCTTTATCTCATTAGCGCCGTGACATCCAAACATGTGTGGTTTGCAAATTGAATCTCGGCACTCCCCGTGTGCATGGCAAGGACACAGCTCTTCATGTGAGATTGCAATCAATGTTTTGTCCGAGCGCGAGTCCTTAACCCGGCCAGTACGGGTTGGGCCGGATGCGCTTGGGGTGTACATGGACATGTATGCTCATTCTTCTGAGCATGCTCATTAAGTAGGGGATAACGCTGACCGCTATATTGCACGGCCATCTGTGCCAGTAACAGGTGTCCCTGAACGTTTGACATTCCGGATGAACTCGTTAACGCCGCCAAGCCTATTTAAGTGACGAGCCAAATCTGATTCCAGTTAGATGATAACTCTTGTCAGTGCTGTCCAGATCGGATCAATTCTGCCCAGCTCATTACGTAGACTATTGTGCGTGTAAGTGTTGCACAAACACGCTGCAAGACATATCTGACTGTAGCATTTGACAATTGGACTAGCGCATCACCAACAGCCATTGAGTAATTGAGATCACATTGTCATTCAGGCCAGCTGTGCTGTCGTCAACTGTTTCTGTGTTACCCTGCTTGATTTAAACAGTGAACTGGTTTTGCGTGCAACCATATCACACTGATTGAAACTAACGCAACTTTTGCGCCACTGTGAAGATGGCTGTACCTATCTTGCCTATTGAACTCATCAGAGTGTTCCTAATTCATCGTTTTATTATAGAAAACGAGGAGGACGAGACAAGACAGCAGCGGAATCCACAGCAGCAGCATCAGCCGCAACCCCACGAAGTGCCGTCCCACGCCGCCTCCTGCATGAGGCTGAATGACACCCCCACAGCCAATCTAGCCCAGCGGAGACTCAGCCGAACCGTCAACCCGCAAATCATGGCCACCTACCAGCCCACGACCACGCAAACAGAGAGACTGTCCCCCGACAACGAGGAGAATGTCGTCGAGCAGACGGAGTCAATAGTGAGAAACTACATGTATATCAGATACCAGACTGATATGCAGTCGGAGGAGAGCGAGTTGTCCATTGCCACGCCAAGGATACCAGAGTTCCGGTGCTTCACAGCAAATCCCCTCAGGTGAGTGGCCTTTTTACTTTTGAGACCGAATACTTTTTTGGTGTTCCCAAAAGTACCAGCCTACTGTCCTCTTTATATAGTGGTGTTCCCTAACGTTTCCCTCGACTTTCCTCATGTAGTGTTGCCATCCCTTTTTTTTGACGAACTTCAGATTCACTCAGTTAAATACTGGTGATTTTACCCTAATAGTGCTTGCTGTTGAGCCTTTGTGAACAATTTCAGTGTCATGAAATTTGGTTAAAATCAAAAACGGTGGTGTCCAGAAATTGGGCACAAAATCGGCAGAGTGTTCCCTAACATGGCGCATTTTGAACAAATCTCAGAAAAATCTCAAGTTAACATTTAAGAATGTTTTGTTGACAAATTTTGATAAAACCTTTCTTGTCTCCACTCATATACCCAAGTACAAGGTTGTCGGAAATTTTTTTTCTTGTTTTAATTGGGCGCATTGAGTTTCATTGTGTACAAATCCGAAAATCACGCCAAAATATAATTTCTCTGCTAATTTTGTAACAGGCAGGTAAATGTAAGATGTATGAACGGGAATGTTAAGAGCTTGATGAAATTTCGCTTACTGTGAAATTTCAGGTGCAACTTTTGCTCTAGCAAGGCCTAGAGGCAAAAGAATCTTAGTGCGCCACATTAGGGGCCGCGCCTCATTAGGGGACATCAGCAATACCTACATGTATGGCGTGGGGTTCGGAACCTGCTTAAGGGCACCTAAACAGACGCTTTGTGGTACGATCTGGGGCAAATTTCTGACCACTTTAACCTTTTTTTTGTAAGCAAAAGATCAACATTTAAACATCATAGTCGAGTTTGGAGTCATGGAATCAGCTATTTTGAGCTATAGAATCAAAAATTGGCTACAATTTATTATTCGGGGACAAAAAAGAGGGGGGGGGGAATGATATGATATCCCCACCACTTTCAAAAGACATGGGTCCCCCCCCCACCCCCCACCGATTGACGCCCATGGAGTAGAGAGTTAAAAAAAAAGATTTAAAAAATAAAAACCGAATATTCCCATGTTTTCCTGCTATGTGGTTAATTGTAGAAAGTTTGGGAAAATCCTATTGATGCCTTTTAATTTTGGATTAATCTTGATAATTTTTTTGGGTTTCACCAACAGCCCCACGTCACAGGTCGGACGACGGCTGGCGGAAATCGGCGACCAGATCAACTCCCAGTACCAGTGCGAATTTAGCGAGATGATAAGCCAGCTCCGCATCACGCCCGCCACGGCCTACGAGGCGTTTGCCGGGGTTGCTAGAAGGTAAAAAGCAAATTCAGGCAAAACTTCTGACCAAAAATTGACATTGTTTACAAACCACAGTGAAGGGGAATTTAACCTTTATAATTCCAGACTTCAATCTTGAAAACTTAATAAGTCTTGTAGATAAAAAGAAGGGACTAGCAAATCAGTTGTGAATCACTGGCTGTTTGGTGTTTCTCATGTTCTTAACTTGCTGAGGTCTAGGCTTTGCGTAGTTGTTTATTTGTTTATTATTGTTTATTTTCTAGTGCAATCAGTGTAGCATTCTTATTGCCAAGGGCAGCCCAGGGTTCCCTTTGGAGATGTTAAAGGGTTTCGAGTCAACTCGCACCCAAAACAACTCGGACCCAAGCCAACTCGTACCCAGACCAACCTGGACCTAAACCAACTCGTACCCAGACCGATTTGGCCCAAGACCAACTGGGACCCAAACCAACTCGTACCCTGACCAACTCGGACCCAGACCATCTCTGACTCAGACCAACTCGGACCCAGACCAACTCGGACTCTGACCAACTCGGACCCAAACCAACTCGGACCAAATACTTCTGCCCCATTTCAAGTACGTTTTAACTTACGGTATTTTGAGGTTTTTTTGTAATTCTGGGAATCAAACCCAGGCCATCAGAAATATAAATGGTTTTGGGGCTGAAGAAATTGACAGTTAATTAACCATATTCCCCTCACACGATTGTGTGAAGTACCATTCGCCATTGAATCTAAACTTGAAAGTGGGCACATCAAACCACAGAGTGTCAATAAAAAATGGCCTCATAATGTAGGGTCCCAGTAGTTCCTTTTAAGTTTGAGAGATCTTGCCAGAATATCAGACACTGCCTGGCCACAATAGAGACGTTTTGTACTATATGGAGTTAGAATATTGTAGTTACTGTATGTCATGCATAACTAATACCCTTTGTTTATATTTTTATATTTCATTTATTTAAACTTTTAGACTATTCACCCAAGGCATCAACTGGGGGAGAATAGCGGCCCTATTGTCTTTCGGCTACCAGGTGGCACTGAGCGTCAAGGCTGGCATTGGCGAGTTCATCAGCAAGATCATCAACAGCATCGTCAAGTTCATTTGTACCGAGAAGATTGCGCATTGGATATCGGAGCAAGGTGGATGGGTAAGTAATCTTTTGTTTGTTTGCTAAGTAAGCTATTTGTGATTGGATACAAAAATAGATTCAAGGGCGACTCGGCCAATCAAATGATATCTATTTTAAAAGTTGGGACAATATGAAGGAGTCTAGTAATAGTTTTTGCATCTTTTTATCCCTTCTTTTTTTCAATACTGCAGTCATCTATAGTTAAGGTTATTCTCACCTTCCATTACTTTTTCTGCGTACTCACGCGAAACGCTGCGAAACGCTGCGAAATGCTTAACGCAGTACCCTATTGGTACATGGGTAAATGTTAATAGGTTGACCTCTATGTGAGGTCAACCTGACAATCTACGCGCTACCTGGTACCCAACTTTAATTGGCTGTCCACAATAATCCTCCATTTTGAGTCTTTATTCAGACTTGTAATAACAAGCTTTTCAGGAAATAACAAGTGCGAGTGCACATAAGCTCTGGCAAAAAAAGCGAAGCCTATGGCACATATGGAACACCATACTTTTGGTCAATTTTCGGGACAGACAGATCGACAGACAGACCGACCACCAAGTGACATGTAGAAGCTCCTGTCAGAGCTTAAATTGTATGATAAAAAATGTACCCTCCATATTTTTTCTTCTTTTTTTTCTTCAACAGCGTGCTGCCCTCAGCTACAAGTTTGAGACTTCAGAAAGCCTCAGGTTATTTTTTGCAATCAGCGTGGCAGCAGCAGCAACAGCAGGCCTCATGTACTGGCTAGGACGTCGGTGAAACCTGCCTCCTCTCCACGACTTTTATCATCATCCATCGACGTCAATGAACACATGCGAAAGTACTAAGGGGCTTCTGGGAGAATTCTGCCCCACTGGCTCAACGCCTTTGACGGAATATTTGTACAGAAAAAAGACTGTACCAGCAGTGAATGCACAGAACAATGGACAGCTGCGTGTTATTGAAAACTCGGTTGTGCTTGAGTTTGATGACGGCTGAAACACGACAGTGCGATAAGCGAAGTCCGATTCACATAGTGAAAAACTACAAGCATCTTCAAAGCCAGATTAGGAAGTGGGTCTCCAACACTTCAGAATAATGTAAAAACCGACAGTTACCACATAGCTGTCTGCACACTCAATTTGGCCAACTCGTATATCAAAGTGAGTTGAACCTCATAGACCTTTGTGCAGGGAGGCGGAGTCCGAGGGCAATGGCTTTGTATTGCGTGGATCCATTGTTACTAAATTATAATAACAAAGCACGGCCTCTGAGATCCATGCAACGATTGGACAAAAAGCTGTCACGTGACTGATGGCTTTTTCTTGCTGCACTCATGTCAATATCATTACAGCATAAATCTAAACTTGTCCTTATCCCTACCAAGTTTCAAGAACGCTGTTTTTTTTTTGCAGTTGAATTTAGGGGGAAAATGTAAATGTAGGAAAAAAATGGCAAGGTATCTACAATGCTATTGGTTTTTTAACACTATAAATCTAAACTTATCTATATCTATACAAATTTTCAAGGATGCTGTTTCTTTGCAGTTGAATTGTGGGGGAAAATGTAAACGTTTGTGGAAAAAATGGCAACATATCCACAATCCTATTTTTTTTTTAAATTAATGAAACGGATCCGAATATACACTTGTAGATTTCCAGTTTTTCATTGGGCTCAACTTTGTGTGCAGACAGCAATCAGAAAAGTAAAAGTTCATGAATAATAGATTGATTTTGTTCATATTTTTTTTTTTTAAAGGAAAGACCTACGTACGTTGTGTATACAAAATGTAAAACTGTACAGAACCTGTAAAAATAATTGGGTTATCTTGTTCTTTTACCTGGTTTTGCGACAAGGCAGGAGAACTTTTTAAATGAACAAGAAAAAAACAAGATCCAAGCAAAACAGATTTTTTATTTCAAAATTCAAGTTCAACATTTTTTGAAAACTTGATTTTTTGGGGCATCGTAAAAAGAAAATGTCAGACACGACATTTGAAAGAAACAATTCCATTTGTCAGAAATTTAATAAATCCTGCTGTGAAATCAGATTGCACATGAACAATACACAGTTGAGCCACAGATGTCTAGTCTTATTTCGCTAAAATCGCAACGAATAATACCTTTAACCATTTAAGGGTCGGAATATTATCAACATATAGTCCATGCGCTCCTATACATCTCTTGCATGTGGATTCAGTGTTGAAATATTTTGTCACCAACTGCCTGCTGCTTAAGTTAATGCTGTATTTATTTTACGTGTGTGATTATACTCATTCATAATAATAATACCTTAAATGACGGGATGGACGTGTCACTTTCGAATTGACTTTGTAATTAATTTACACTAAAGACACGTACATGTTATCTATAGTACTCCTGTTTTAATGAAATATCCAGACCGTTTGTTGAGTCCATTGTTTATAAAGTACTTGAGTCTGATGTGTTAACGGTATCATTAGGTAAATTGAAATTTTCCTTAAAGAGTCAGATTTTATAAAAAATGTCAGTATAACTCATCCACCAAGTGAATCACTGAAGCACTGTTGATGGTATGCTGCATCGTATTAAAGTTAATATACAACATTTGCTTTTGCTGTAATTTTCAGAAATGGACGTTTCGGGGGTTGGTATTTTATAGCAAATATCGTTCCACTGACCTGTTTAACGTTTTGTGTTGATGAATGCCGGAAAATCAAGAAGAAAAATAAAACATAGTCTGGTTCCCTGACCCAATGCTTCAGACGAAATGCAACAATTTATAGACGTCTGGGAATTGTCAAGTCAGGGAACCAGACTCTGTGGCTTGTGCCGTTCATGGATATATAACCCATTGCAAAAAAATGTGGACTGACTAAATTCAGTCAATTGGGGCAGTATTTGAAAACAGGTTTTTTTTATTCCAATGATGGCTGGGCCGAACCATCGTTAAAAAATGACACAAAATTCCACTTTCCTTGAAAGTTACAGTATACCAGGCGAAACGATTCCACAAGATGCTCGAGACTGTTATTCACTTACAGTGCATGTATTTCATAATACTTGTAATGTGGTGGTTACCGTTTTCAATGTTTGCAAATGTTGTATGTTACCTTTAAACTATGTTGCCGCAATAATATAAGCACAGTAAAGTCAGTGCTGTTGAAGATTATTTTGGCCCAAGCTGAGCTTGAAAAGCCAGAAATTGTCAAGCTCCTATAAAATGTTTACATTATGGTACCATAAACAACACCTTTTGATTTGTGTGTGTGTACACGCCTCTACCTTGACTATAATGGACCTAATTGTGACCTCTCTTGATCGCATTTCTCGCCAAGATTGTTTTTGTACCACCCTTGCACCCCAAACTCCCAAATTATTGATTAGCCTTCGAAAAAATAGTCTTTGAATTGAATTTAGTGTTAAAATCATTAAGAGGAAATTGGTACAAGTATCGTGGTGTACTGTCCAGAAATTTATTGAAGTGAGCATTTTTTTTTGTACGGCAACTAAAACTTGAACAGATTAATTATCTTTTGTCTAAACTGAACAGATGCTGCATTTGGTACTGAAGTATTGTTGATGCATCCAAATTTTGTCAACAAAGTTTGTCTGGTTGTTGAGTTGTAATTATTTTTGGCTAATCTAGTGAAACGTCATTGTACGTGTACATTTCCTTGTCATATATGAATTGCGTATGGAGCATTTGATGCCTTGCAGAACGGTAGCCTGGCTGATCAGAAATCTTTATTTAATCAGATATTCCAAGAGTATCACTATGAATGGTGCAAGGATGGAAGCTAGGCTATTTTGTTCTCAGTTTGTGATAATCTCTGTAAACTGTACGTGTATATTATGGTTGTTTTCTTTTCTCTCTTTGATTTCACCAAATGTCAATAAATTTGATAATGTACAAATGAAAACGATAAATTTGAACAAATTTGTGTTTTCTATGGACGTAGTGTGGGGGTTTTTCAAAGGGGAATGTATTATTAATTATTGAGCGAGCAAAATCAACAGACTTTTTGGACTATTTGGTTTAGGTAAACTACAATAATGACCCAAATGTACTAAAAATAAATAGCGCCCTCCTGTTTTGTCCTTAAAAAAGTTTAACGTAAACCATAGGCTTGATTATTTTCATCGGGGTACAACAAAATAATCTGCCACCTCCCCCATAAGATTGTCATAGCGCCCTCTCTTGGTATTTCAGTCACGTGATCAACACAATCCCACGAAATTAATTCAAGATGGCGGACAATACTTGACATGTCAAGGATCTAGAGAAGGCTGGGCCACATTCCTTTTGTAAAGTAAGCTATTTTTATTTATCCAAAGTACGAAAATTTAGTATTCTATTTAAAGAATGAAGCTTAAAGGATACTTGTGTTTTTCGTTATTTTTTTTGGTCATTGTTTTCAGTTAAAATAAAGAGGAAATAAGCTTTCATTTTTTAAAGTCAAACTTCAACGACAACATGTTCAATCAATTAAAACATGATCAAAATGACATTGTCATGATTGTCGGCAAAATTAAATAGCAGAATACCCGGGTACCCCACCACTTATCTATCCTACCTCATAGCCGCCTATGTGGATATGGAGTCGTGCTTGACTGCTCACCCGAAGTACGCGTGCACTTCCCGCTCCGTATTCTCGTATCCGCGTTTTACGTCTAGCCCATAAATGTGGCCAATTTACTGGACTACCTCCGTAAATACGAAGTGGCTATCGTTACGGCAGCCGTTGTTTAGCGCCCTCTACGATACTTTTTTGATACGCACGCAGATATATAATTATTTGTTTCCCCACGATTTAGCGAGCAGTGCCACAGCTCAGTCGATAGAGGGTAGGATTTTGCACCGCGAGGTTGCGGGTTCACATTTCAGTTTTGCACTCGAATTTGTTTCCTTTTCTAACCTGAGGCTTTGGAGGATTTTTTTTAAAAGGGAAATAAAGTCCGAATTTCATAACGTTCAAATTCACTTTTTTCCTTCTAATTTTATATTTTCTTCTCATGTTTTTATATAAGTTGCAGTCTACCGTAACGATAGAAAATGGGAAATGCGTTACGGCTGCCGTAACAATAGCCACTGTGCCGTAAATAAAGGCCACACTTTGACATGTGCTTAGTTTTGTAGTTTAGTTTTGCTTTAGAAGCATACTCACCCTTTTTATTATAGGCTAATCAGAATGTGCTGCCTTTTTCAGATGTCTATTTTTTGTGAAATTTCCAGATTCATTAACACACTTTTGCGTATCAAAATTTCAACATGAAATTTTACGAAAAATAGACATCTGAAAAAAACAGTGCTTTCTGATTAGCCTATAAAGAGGGTGAATATGCTTTTGCTTCTAAAGCAAAAATAAACTACAAACTAAGCCTAAATGTGAAAATCAAAATTTGACAAAGTCCTACATATGTTTTTGTACATGTTCCAAGTGTGGCCTTTATTTACGGAGGTAGTCCAGTAAATTGGCCACATTTATGGGGCTACCCCGTATCCACTTTCCGAATTGACGAATATCTGTGTACTTTTTTTCATTGATTGGGGAAAGTTTCCAGTTCATTTCAATATTGCAAAGTGCCATTGTAAAAACCACAATATTAAATTGTTTACTTTTTAATTTGTTTTTCTTGAAGATCTAACTGCAGTTCTTTAACATGTTTGTAAATCATTTCCCAATTTTTCGTTTACTCTAGTTTGCTGTGCGCACACATTCTTCTGTTGATGGTGTACTCTATAAGTAAACCTACATTTATTCACTGAAGGACAACGTGGTCAACTGGTGAATTTGGTTCATGTGACACACACTATAAGATTTTGAGACGTTCGTTATGAAGACATGTTTTACCAGTAGTTGGAGGTTAATACCATATAACCATCATGTGTAAGTATAATTTCAGACATGTTATTTTTGATGAACTCTGGGTTGGTTTCCGTTTGTGTTTTCAGATTGTTGCTAATTTTGCATCCCTTTGCCTGGACTGAGGCCCCAAGTTTAGGAACAAAAAGCCTGAAAAACAAAAGCAGGCCAATTCACGCACCTTTGTTAAGAGCCAACGAAATTCTCTGAAATTGTACACATAGGGCCTTCTACTGGTTGTTTCTTTCACTATCACTGTCGTTTGAGCAAGTCTGTTATCTTGTATAAATACAGTTTTCCCATTCCTATTGGTTGAGAGCCTGTCACGTATATGGTCTTAAGCCGCTGTTTAAACACCGGTCAGCAATGTTTACGACCAGTGTTTAAAACTCTGTCTACGCGCCGCGTGCACCAGCTACCAGCAGCTGCTTGAGAACCACTAATATGATCTTATGTCAGATGTACATGTAAGGCCAAATAAAAAAAACATATTTAGCATCTCCGCCCGCCCGCTTCCTCTTTTGAGGCTGCCTCCTTTTTTTTTTTTAAATGAAAGAATTATGAATTTTAAACAGTGACACCATTTTGGCCTCTTGTCTGTTGCATCTAGCCCATATAAAGCTGGTATGTCATTCCTGAGTCCAAGTGGTGGCCTTTTAAAAAAAAAGATGGCGGCCATCTTGAAAAATAGCTCGGTCGGGCGGCCATTTTAGAAGAAAAAAAGGGGGGGCCTGCTCCTTTCTTTTTTTCAAAAATGCAGGACGCTAAACATATTTTTTTTTTATTTGGCCTATTAACAGGTACACCAAAAAAAAGTGGACCCCAAATTTATAAAACGACCCTGATCAGATCTGTACGTGGAGTAATAAAATTGTTGAAACATTGTCAACTTTTTGACTTTTTTGTGGCTTTTGATCGAAAAGTATTATGAATTGGAATGTACAATAAAGCAGTTAATACACATGGGATGTTTTCAACCGATTAGGGACCTGGCCACCGATAATAGCCCTAGCATTCGTCTTTTGGGTCATTATCAGCAGCCACAATATTATCGCAATATTACCCCTGATTGCATGGTATGATTTATTTTATTTCATTTACGTGTCAAATGTTCAGGCAATAAGCTTATCATAACCGGATGGACTTGCGACAATGCTCTTTCTACAGAATTACTTTTCTTTGAATTACATGTGTGTGCTATATTTACATGCATTTGACGTCCTGTTAACTTCTGTAATGGTTGGTTTTGTGGTTTTGTTTGTTTTGTATATTTTTTTGGGGGGGGGGGTTGGAAACATTTGTTTCTTTTCACAGGAATAAAAATGGACATGGGGTGTATGTACATGTACCCTTTTTTCACAAACCATGCACAATTTCAATACCTGTATGAAATGAGAGATATACGGTACATGTACATGCATTGTTCCCAAAACAAAATTGAAACAAAACTATAATTTATTGTTTTCATAGTTCAGTTCAGGAGGACTGACTTGTTTGTACAACTACTAAAACAAAATGAGAATAAGCTAATACCCTTCCGACTAGCCATTTTATGTAAATTTATGGACAGATTTATGACAACGGAAAGATTTAGTTTGGAAAGGATATTTCAGAATTTGAGGAGAGAGATTGTATTGAGAAAAAAACCCCAAGGGTTTTACCTTGCGTGACTTCAGACTATGAATAAAAAAAATATAGGCATACCTTCAGTATAAGGCCAAAAAAAAAAATTTGGTCTCTGGTCAGACCAAAGTTCCGTAATTGACGCGGCCACGCGGCTTTTTTTTTTTTATGCCCCGCGGCGAAGCCGAAGGGGCATACTGTTTCCGCCTTGTCCTTCCGTGGGTGGGTGGGTGTGTGGGTGTGTGTGTGGGTGGGTGGGTGTGTGGGTGTGTGTGTCCGGACAAATCTTGTCAGCGCGATAACTTGAGAAATACTTAACATATGAACTTCAAATTTGGTTGGTGGATTGTTCTTGGTAATCCTAAGAAGCCTTTCGCATTTGGGGCCAAAAGGCCAAAGGTCAAGTTCACAGTGGCTAAAACAATAGAAATCTTGTCAGCGCGATAACTTGAGAAATACTTTACATGTGAACTTCAAATTTGGTTTGTGGATTGTTTTTGGCAATCCTAAGCAGCCTTTCGCATTTGGGGCCAAAAGGCCAAAGGTCAAGTTCACAGTGGCTAAAACAATAGAAATCTTGTCAGCGCGATAACTTGAGAAATACTTTACATGTGAACTTCAAATTTGGTTTGTGGATTGTTTTTGGCAATCCTAAGAAGCCTATTGCATTTGGGGCCAAAAGGCCAAAGGTCAAGTTCACAGTGGCTAAAACAATAGAAATCTTGTCAGCGCAATAACTTGAGAAATACTTTACATGTGAACTTCAAATTTGGTTTGTGGATTGTTTTTGGCAATCCTAAGAAGCCTATTGCATTTGGGGCCAAAAGGCCAAAGGTCAAGTTCACAGTGGCTAAAACAATAGAAATCTTGTCAGCGCAATAACTTGAGAAATACTTTACATGTGAACTTCAAATTTGGTTTGTGGATTGTTCTTGGCAATCCTAAGAAGCCTATTGCATTTGGGGTCAAAAGGTCAAGGGTCAAGTTCACAGTGGCTAAAACAATAGAAAGCTTGTCAGCGCGATAACTTGAGAAATTCTTAACATATGAACTTCAAATTTGGTTTGTGGATTGTTCTTGGTAATCCTAAGAAGCCTATTGAATTTGGGGCCAAAAGGTCAAGGGTCAAGTTCACAGTGGCTAAAACAATAGAAATCTTGTATTTATTCTGAGATTATAGGGATTAGGGATTAATTCATATAAAACCTACAGAAGACACTAATGCTGTCAATGAATGTTCCATGTGACCAAGGTACATGTAAGTTGATGTTAAAAGAGTGGTGTTATGTCATGGGAACAGTCACGGTTGCGGGGCATTTGTGTTTGTAAACACACCTGACTTGTCTGTTCATATGTTTATCGGTGAACTGCGTAATATTTCATGCAGGTTTTGTGCCTGGAGGTTTAACGCATACGGTTTGGGCATTGCAAAGTTGCACATGGATGAGCTGAAATGCACAGTCGTTGTGGAGGAGTTTTAAATGAGTATTTCATGTGTGAAGCAAAAAGTGCAAGCCAATTGTGCACCTTTAGTTAATGCTAACTGTGTTCATTATGATGCATGTGCCAGACGTATTCAGACTGCTGCACTGGAAAGTACATGTACATTGTAATTGACCTATTGCCGTTTGAGAGTTAGCCACGCCCCTTAGACAACCCTATGGAATTTTTGTACGCTAATTTTTGTTTGTCTCAGATGTTGCGCGTTCCGCATCCGTTTGTATGACATGTAATTGGCCAATATTTCACAAGCTGTGTTGACACGATTCTAACGTGATTCTACTTCGATAGGTCAATTGTGCAATGAATACATGTACCGGTAACTGGCGTAATTATTGATGAAAAACATACTTGGTTCAAATATACATGTAGTAAGGGGACTAAACTCCCTGTAAAATGATTCTTTCTGGCAAGCTGTCATTTTGATGAAATCAACGAAAGAAGGCCTTTCCAATGGTGGGTCTTAAGAAGCACCATTGGAAATGTCCGTTAGTATTTCGTTTTTATGCCCCGCGGCGAAGCCGAAGGGGCATACTGTTTCCGCCTTGTCCTTCCGTGGGTGGGTGTGTGGGTGGGTGTGTGTGTGGGTGAGTTTGTCTTACATACGCAGTGTGGACTTCCGAACAAAAGACGTCCACATAATGTAGGTAGCACCGACGTTGTGTGGACTTACCCCACGTCCACACAGTGTTTCCCCATTTCTGGAAAACAGGTTTAGAGGCATTTTTGGGTTAGGTTTATCTGTAGCAGAATGAAGAGAAACACTAAAGGGAATCATAGAAAAAAAATTGGGTTGAAAGAGTTTTCACAGTTTGAGAAAAATGAGTTTTTTCACTGGTTTTTCTTAACTACACGAAAGCAATGGAAAGTCCACACTAGTCATGTGAAACAAGTATGGGTGGGTGTGTGGGTGTGTGTGTGTGTCCGGACAAATCTTGTCAGCGCGATAACTTGAGAAATACTTAACATATGAACTTCAAATTTGGTTTGTGGATTGTTCTTGGTAATCCTAAGAAGCCTTTTGCATTTGGGGCCAAAAGGCCAAAGGTCAAGTTCACAGTGGCTAAAACAATAGAAATCTTGTCAGCGCGATAACTTGAGAAATACTTAACATATGAACTTCAAATTTGGTTTGTGGATTGTTCTTGGTAATCCTAAGAAGCCTTTTGCATTTGGGGCCAAAAGGCCAAAGGTCAAGTTCACAGTCGCTAAAACAATAGAAATCTTGTCAGCGCGATAACTTCAGAAATACTTTACATGTGAACTTCAAATTTGGTTTGTGGATTGTTTTTGGCAATCCTAAGAAGCCTTTTGCATTTGGGGCCAAAAGGCCTAAGGTCAAGTTCACAGTGGCTAAAACAATAGAAATCTTGTCAGCGCGATAACTTGAGAAATACTTTACATGTGAACTTCAAATTTGTTTGTGGATTGTTCTTGGCAATCCTAAGATGCCTATTGCATTTGGGGCCAAAAGGTCAAGGGTCAAGTTCACAGTGGCTAAAACAATAGAAATCTTGTCAGCGCGATAACTTGAGAAATACTTAACATATGAACTTCAAATTTGGTTTGTGGATTGTTCTTGGTAATCCTAAGAAGCCTATTGAATTTGGGGCCAAAGGTCAAGGGTCAAGTTCACAGTGGCTAAAACAATAGAAATCATGTATTTATTCTGAGATTATAGGGATTAGGGATTAATTCATATAAAACCTACAGAAGACACTAATGCTGTCAATGAATGTTCCATGTGACCAAGGTACATGTAAGTTGATGTTAAAAGAGTGGTGTTATGTCTTGGGAACTGTCACCGTTGCGGGGCATTTGTGTTTGTAAACACACCTGACTTGTTTTTGCTTTTTTTTCTTTCTTCAAGCTTGGATTGTACAGACAAGGCGCGTACTATTTTGCTTTTTTTGGTGCCCTCATGTACATTGGTGTCCTCCATAATTTACCTTGGTGCTTTCGATCATTTGCCTTGGTGCAATTTCCCATTCCTTGGTGCTTTTTGGTAAAAAAAATTGAGGAGGTGCGGAAATAGAGGGCACTGTTGGAGCTACCGCGGAACATTTTGGAAAAAAAAAAAGATCGACGCGCATGATTAAAATCGACGCGCGCGCTGACCAGAGACCGACTTATTTTTTTTTTTGGCCTTATGCATACATGTATAACCAAAATTGCAAATCATACAGAAATACAAGCACATAAAGGGTTTGCATCTGAATCGGGATTCCGACTACCCGACCGCTGATGTCAGGAACCGGTTCCAGATTGTGGGATCGGGTACCCGTAACCAATTTGACAAATTAACTCAGTAGCTTCTCAGACAATGGACAAGAAAGGTTTTGAATGCCATTTGTGGGGAATTTTCAAAATGAAAACCAGGCTACATGGAAAACCAAAACAGATTTCACGTTTTCCAAATCGCAAATCCTGTATCCTGTGCTGTACACAGTATCTGCTGCATTGACGCACCGATGTGGTAGTGTTCTTGCGCGCACCTTTATGAATTTGAACAGAAACTTCCGGGATATTAATTTTTATTTCAACAGGGTACCTGCTTCCCAAACTACCTGCAAATGCACACCTACATGTACCAGTAAATTTACAATGTACCTGTCCCACTTATCCATTTACTAGTCAAGAAAAAAGCGATTCTCCCCCCCCCCCCCCCCTCAGAAAGGGCATGCCTGCTGTTAAACATGACATGTACAAATGTATGTGTACCATAGGCTATGTGTTATTTATTGTGTCTGGGCCAGTTTAACTGGTTGGGGGGGGGGGGGGGAGGGAATGAATTGTTTTGTTTTGGCCAAAATTTTATTCAAAAATTGTGTTAACCTTATTTCAAGAACACAATTCCAAAAATCTGTTCCTTGCTCTAATGTACATTGTACATGTATGCTTTAACAATGTATGTATGTACAGTTTAAGCACAATTTACATTAGCACTAATGAGTACTGTTATAATCCGTATTAGTACACGTATGTGTACTAAATCGATAACATGTATGTACTTGTACATGTACATGTAATAAGCTATCATTAAGGTTGAACATGATGGCACATTTTAATTACTTGCAGTGCATTAAGATGTATGCATGCACACGTACATGTATGTACATGGTTCATTTGTGCATTGTACACCGACATGCGAGGCCATACCCGTTAGCTTTTGAGTCATCATGTGCCTCATTTGCTGTCATTGTGCAAATGGGCGGATGGCTCATGGTACGTGTACTAAATATGATTCATTGTTTGGCTGCTGTGCATAAAATATGCCAGCATTTGTGTGTGTACATACATGATAATAAAGCTAATTACTAAATCCTTAATGGTATTACTGTGCATTGAGTTGTACATATGTACATGTACGTGTCAAACGTGTTGCATCAACCTACATGTACATAGAGTATGGTACAAATACGTGGGCATACATGTACATGGCAATTGACAACATGTGCATTGTACCATAGAGCAATGAACAGATTGTACAACCACAGCGCTACACATGTTGGGTTTTTTTATGATAAAAACAATAGAAATAAAGATAATCAAAATAATTTTTACAGTACATGTTATTGTTTGAAGAGAATATACATTATTGGCTTTTGCTGTAATTTTCAGAAATGAACTATTTGAGGGGTAAGTATAATAGATCAAATATTGTTAGACTGACATGTTTGAAGGTTTGTGTTCGAAAATGCTGGAAAAACCAAGAAAAACACAAATGTTCAAGTAGTCTGGTTCCCTGACTCCACTAAGAATTAAATGAATCAGTTTAATTTTATAGATGCCGGAAAATTGTACGGTAAGGGAACCAGTCTAGCTGGCCTGCACCCATTCATGAACATGTAACCAATAGCAAACAAAATTTGTACTGAAAAAAAAAGGTAAATTGGAGCAGCAGTTGAAAAATAGTTAAGTTTTTCCAACGGTGGTCGGCCGACCACCGTTGGAAATGTATACAAAAATACCATTTACTTGAAAATGACTTCACACCAGGTGCCATAATTTTACAGGATGCTTTAGACTGTCATTTACCATCATCCTGTAAAGTATTTTATAAAAAATTGGTAGTTTTATTTTTCGATGCTTGCAAATGTTGTATTTTCCCTTTAAAACATTTTTGTTATGTTAAATTGAACCACAGAAGAGTTGGCTGCAACTTGCACTATAGATGAAGCCATGTGAATATAAGGCTTTGTCAAACGGATGACTGCTTGTTCTTCCTGTCCAAATGCATACATTACAACGTCACATACTGAACGTCACATACATTTACAGAGATACAGTACATGTACATGTAGGCCCAGATGTATTTAAAGGGAATATACAACATTTGCAAACATCAAAAAACAAAACTACCCAATTACTGGACTATAGTGAATGACAGTCTAAAGCATCCTGTAAAATCATGGCACCTGGTGTGCTGTCATTTTCAAGAAACGTGGTATTTCTGTATCAATATCCAACGCTGGTCGGCCAACCAGCGTTGGAAAAAAACTGGCTTTTTTAAAATACTGCCCCCAATTTACCATATTTGGTTAGTCCGCATTTTGTTTGCAATCGATTACACACCTATGAAGGGGTACAAACCCATCCATTTTCTGGAAATTATAGCAAAAGAAAATGTTGTTCCTTTTAAATGTATGAAAACAATGTGACATCTCCTCTTGGTTAATTTTATTAAAAAGTGCACTTCTTTTAAACATTTATAAAGATGTCATGAATGCTTTTCCTGACAAATGAGGGCGCTGCTGCTGTGAGTGTGATGTCATTTCAGGAAGACAAAGTTCAGTTTAGGCGTTTTCTGTTCAAATTGTGAACCCAAAATTTGCTCACTGAAAACATTTGTGAGAAAACTATGCTCACTGGCTTACTGTCATCTACTGAAACATCAGCAAATCACCAAAGAAAAGAAAATTTCACGACAGCAAAATATCCAAAATTCGGGCTTCTTTTGGTGCTGAAATAGCTGTAACATTGAGGTTTCTGCCTGAAATGACATCACACATTTGCTTATGAATATGGAAATACCATTAGCATAAAAACCAAAGACGCACCAAAGTACCCTTAAAAATGGCGAAATGAAAATTGAAATTAAAGTTAAATGAGACACAAAGGTGTATTTTCAAGGATTGCATTAAACAAATTACATAACATGGGCCCTTTAATGTAAATGGTATATTTATGCACTTTGCTCATCAGGAAATGAAGTCAGATATTATTCTCAAATAGCCACACCAAAAATGAACTACCGATTCCATTGATTGCTAACATATTGCATAGTATACATGCACAGCAATTTGAAAAGGATCATTGTTGGGAACTGCACCTATTTCTATTGGTTTTGTGCTCTAAAACACACCCTGGTACATGCACATGTACATGTATGACACCTCAACAGTGGATGCGAAACACTGCTGTCATTAATTTATGCTACCACGCAGTATGCAATTATTTTAAATCTAAGAGGTGGTAAAAGCCCACATGATCCAACAAGATACATGTACGTACATGTAAGTGCTCTAACTAGAGAGTCTATAAAAGGATGAAATTGTTTTTGCTATTTTGACATTTTCTGACTGTTTGCCATGTTTCTCTCCCCCCCCCCCCAAAAAAAATCACTTGCATTCACATAAAGTATGTACCAGCCCGATTTAAAAAAATAAAATAAATGTGAACATAATTTTGGGAGATTTGGATTAACCATTTTTGCAACAATTTTTCCTATTTTGGTTGACAGCTGAAATGCAAGACTTCGCTGCTGTGGAACGTTCCAACAAAGAACGAGCTGACATTGTGATCAGATACGACAAGGTAAGTAACGCTGTCAACGTGCTTTTCTCTTAATTAACATAACAAAATTTGCTTTTGCTGTAATTTTCAGAAATGGATGGATTTTGGGGGTTAGTAGTTTATAACAAATATTGTTACACTGACCTACCGGTACATGTATTTAAAGTTTTGTGTTCATAGATGCTGGAAAAACCATGAAAAAAAATGCTGCTCTTGTAGTCTGGTTCCCTGACCCTACTTCAGACGAAGCGGAGTAATTTATAGACGTCTGGGAATTGTCTGGTCAGGGAACCAGACTAGCTGGCTTGCAACCGTTCACGGATGTGTAATCGAATGCAAACAAAAATGTGGACTAACTAAATTTGGTAAACTGGGGGCAGTGTAAGAAAAAAAGTCAGTTTTTTCCAACGATGGTCAGCCGAGCATCGTTGGAAATTGATATTAAAATTCCGCTTTTCTTGAAAATGACAGCAAACCAGGTGCCACGATTTCACAGGATGCTTGAGACTATTATTCACTTAGAGTCAAGTAAGGTATCTCTTAATAATTTGGTAGTTTTGTTTTTTGATGTTTGCAAATGTTGTATATATATTGCCTTTAAGAAGGTGTGGAAAAAATAAGTTTTTAACAACGAACTTCCCACTGGACTGGTGGACCGTGGCCAGTGATTTTGGTGTCAGTCTTGCAACATTGCAACAAAACAAGCCCGGCGGTCTAGTGTTTTTTTCCGAACATTTGGCAAATTCTTGTACATGTTTTTCCAAAATTTTTTTTCCAAAAAAACCCCCAACAGGTTAAGTAATTCACTTCTTTCATTTAATCCTAAATATTCTGCCACTACAATCTGCCCATAAAAAAAACCCATTTCGCACGACCAATCGCGACTTATCGACCTTGCGATCATTACGCACGTCCAATGTGCCAGTGAATGAAAAAAAAATTCAGATATCGTTTGCGCGAACATTGTCATACGGCTTACGTGCGTAAGTGAATACAAGTATATCCGATAGATCGAAACAACCTGGTATCCACCTTGGTTAGCTTTACATACATTGATGAATATTGTGTATCGGCAATGACTTGCCCATTCGCGCGAGTGAGTTTGCAGGTCATCGCTGGTACACAATTCTGTTGTGTACATGTACATGTACAGCAAGCCTATAGAATTCTGCGCTATGCTGAGTACATGTGCACAGCTACATGTATAATCCCTCCTGTTGCTGTATCGGTCTTGTAAAATGTGTTCCGGTCTAGTAAATTTAATGATGTACTGGCCCTGCAGTCCAGTGGATATTTTCCTGAAATTTGACCCCTGGTTTACTTTCATAATAATAATACCGGAGTCTTATATAGCGCACGTATCTACCAACAATTAGGTACATGTACTCAAGGTGCTGGAAATTATGTCTATTATTAAGGATAGGTACCGGTAAATGAAGTTTATGAGAAATATGAGACCCATTATGTAGCACCTTGTAAGGGTTTACAAGGTGCTGCGGCGCATATTGCAGCCACTGCCAGAAACACCGGGGCAAACCCCTTCTCTTAGCGATAAGTGTTACTGGGTTCTTTAACGTGCATTACACAACACACGGCACCTACGGCTTTACGTCCCATCCGAAGGACGAAGCAATAATGGTAAAGTGCCTTGCTCAAGAGCACAAGCACCATGTTCCCATGGTCAGGATTTGAACCCATGTACCACGGCACACAAGTCAAACACCGTAACCATTGGACCATAGCACCCCTTGCCCCTCCCCATAAGACTTGAATTGAAAATAAGTTGCCGTTATAAACATGTAGACCGTTTCACAGATACCGCCATCTTAGTGGTCATGTGATGATCTCAGGAGACATTTCATTCAAAAAATGTCCGTCGCGCCATTGCATCCTGAGCACGATGGGACAAGATTTTCAGTGAAATGCCCCAAGATCACCATGTGACTACGAAGATAGTGGCGTCCGTGAAACAGTCTGTGGATCTACTATAATTCAAGTACCTGTTTTGGTCTGTTCTATGACATGAACATTGTACTATGTGCCAAAAAACGTGTCCTGCTTTTGATCCTTAATTACTCTGTTGTTTACCAATGGAATCAAACCAAAATTTCAGATCATGTATTTAAACAAGGCATGACAACTTTTATGGAGCGAGTTTCATCAGCTTTGTCCAAGAAGGTGAGATTTAAACACCATACGAAAAAAACACTCACTTTCAGAATCTGCCACTTTTGACTTGGTGTCCTTCAATGTCGATACAGCGCTGGAGACGGTGGCGGAAGGCTCGTGCTGCAGCCGAAAGCTTCTGAAGGAATGCAGGATCACCCCTGATGTCATTGCACACCTCCTCGATCGTTTGGCACAACACAAGGTAGAGGAGGTGTGCAATGACATCAGGGATGATCCTGCATTCCTTCAGAAGCCTTCAGCCACAGCATGCTCCTTTCGCCAGTGTTGTATCGACATTCTGAAAGTGAGCATTTTTTTTTCGTATGGCGTTTAAATCTCACCCTCTTGCACAAAGCTGATGAAACTCGCTCCATAAAATTTGTCATGCCTTGTTTACATGATCTGAAATTTTGGTTTAATTCCATTGGTAAACAACAGAGTTATTTAGGATCAAAAGTAGGACATGTTTTTTTTTTTACATGTAGTACATGTACGTACATGTAGTGTACATGTATGTTAGGTGTCTTATTCCTGTAATTTTATTCAATCTTTATTCACCACTCCAAACATCTTGAATCATTCATGTGCAGCATCATTGCTAAAGGGTGTGTACATGTGTATACACGTGTTCATGAGTTGATTGAACTTCACGAGTCGATCGCCCACAAGCAGGCGAGGCGAATACTCGTTTTTCTGTCATAAACTGTTACGTTGTACGTTAAACAATAAGATGGGTGTGTCAATAAATGAGAATAAAGTACAAATGTCAATGACTGTTTTGTTGGTTGTGATCCACAAGTACATGTATGTACTGTGCACAAAGTGTGCTGGGGTTACAGAGACAACTGGATTCTTGGAAAGCTTCCTGCCTTATTGCACTGTTTACATGTTTCATGTGTGTGGACACTTCACACATTGTGTCTTTGGTTTTTCCTTCTCAGAAAATTTGTGTCCAAATGTAATTGGATGGTGCATGTGTACATGTACTAGATGTGTATCATACATCATGCATACATGTACATTTACATCATACATGTACATGTACATGTACATCATATATGTACATTTACATGTGTAATTTGTAGACATAAACCTTTATGTCAAGTACATGTACCATGGACTACATTTACATGCCTAATGAAATCAAAGTAAGTTTTCAAAAAGATTTACAGTCAGTAGCCATATTAGTTTATATACATAAGGCCTGGGGGAGTAGTGAATTTTTCTACTCGAATACTCGCAAAGAAAGTACTCCCGAGTAGTCGAATACTCGTTAGTAGTAAACTGAATTCCCATAAAAGCAGAAGAATGACATATAGTTTGACTGGAAGTACATTGTAACTACGAGCAAAATCATGCAAGTCACACCACACTCTTCAGCACTGAGATATCCTTAGGCCTATTGTGCAACGTTTTGAAATTTATTTGAAATTTTTTTGGGGGGCGAATGGAATCCTAGGGACAGATAGGTGATAATTCCCTGTTTGCAGGGGAGATATTAAGCAATGAACCCTAAACCCTAAATTGCTACTTACGAGTGCCTGCTTCTACTCGTGCCAGGACGAGTACATTTACTTGAGTAGATGAAAAACCATGTGTACAACAACGAGTACACATTAATTACTCGCGAGTACTTGAGTAATCGAGTTACTTGCCCAGCAGTAACATACATTGTATGTATATGTTTTAAAAAAAACTTGTGAGTTGTACAGAAATAACGTGTGCAGATATATGTACAAATGTACATTATTGTTATTATTATTATTAATTTCTGGTACTGAAACCAAGGATTCCTCAAAAGCGCCCTAGGCACTGTAGCTCACAAGCCTGATGAAACCTGTGGAGAGGAGACAATGAGAAGAAATTACAGTTTTAGAGGTGGGAGGAAAACCCCAGAAGAATATTCTGGGGAAAACCCACGGAATCAGGCAGGGACTGAAAACCCAATCCGCATATTGGCCCAGGCGGGATTCGAACCCGGGTCACAGCGGTGGAAGGCGAGGAAAGTACCGCTATGCTAACCTGACTCCTCAATGGCTCTGCATGTACATAACATGAACGTGTGCTTCAGTCTACCCAAACGGTGTACAAGTACATGTGTATACACATGCACATTGTAGTATTAACATTCAGTACTGCATGTGAATTTTTTTAAATTTACACATGTACATGTACATAAATGTAATTTTTTCTTTTGTGGAATTGTTTTTTAACTTGGAGCAATGATTTTTCCCTCTATGTTTGTACATGTACCGGTATGTTTGCATGTGCATAACATTTCCATGTGTTCATTTACATTTAAATCTTATCAAATCATCCTGGAGCCACCGGACTGGTACAGTACATGTATAAAAAGCGTACACTAAAATGTGAGAACGGTAACATGGCATTGTGCAACTGAAACAAATGCAGTGCAAGGGTGTAGCGTCCTATAATACCACACACTGCATCATCGTACATTGTACAACCGACTCAAATGAATTAATTATCTGGACATTGCCGGCAATAATTGCAGAATATCAGAATATTCATTACATGCCATCACAATTTCCATGCCACAAAGACCTCCAGGCTTTTGCTGTATCACATTACAATCCATCTATAACAGTTTACTCCCAAATGCGGGATGCGATGTTTATGTGCATGTGCATGGCTCTAGCGCTTCGATCACAGATTATACATGGGGGGAGGGGGGGGGGGGGGGAGAGAAGAACGTGATTGATTTTTGTCACTGAGTGAAGAACCCAGAATTAGATTACTCCTCTCGCACTGGTACGTAATTTGGTCTGTGTTACTATGTGGGACGAGGTCGCTTGGTCCCTGATTCACAAGGTGACAACAGATGGCGAACA